ATGAAAAAATATTGAACCGTTGTTTTTTTATTGAATTTTTTCGAAAAGTTCTAAATTTCAAGATCATAAAAAATGGCACAAGATCACGACTATAATTCGAGAATGGTTCAACATACTCAGCTAAAACTTTGTACGAATAATTATAGTGGGTAATGTTAACTGTGACAAAAATTCAGCTGAATCGATTACGTTGTTTATTTTCTGTAGATACCATTAGGTAAGAGAAAAATGCTAATTTTAGCTATCTTTGTGGCTTTATATCTGGTGATTGATGTATGGTAAAACTCTGAAATTATTTTACTGGGAAGAGCTCAGTGACATCTCACTTTAATAAAAATCTCAGCTTCCTAAGTCAAAGCGTTTCTTCGTGGGAACCTTGCCAAATTAGCGATTTTGCACTGCGGTGGTCTCAAAAACTATATAATTATTTTCGCGAATAATACTTGATCCTGATAGACCCACCCTTGCTCTACAACCTAATGCAAAAACCAACCTGGTATCTCTATGGGCTCGTTGGCCATTGGCGTTGCACGGAGAGCCCTACACAGAATAGGTTAGTTTTTATACTCCATTTGAAACAGCTAGGAAAAATAGGTAAGTCATGACACCTGGGTAATTTTTGATGCAGAAAACAATGGCTATAAAATTCTGGATAAGACCGAAATGTGAGCGGGCGGCGGGAGCGAGGGGTTGATTCTTAAAAAAGCTTATATATGTCGAATATAGTGCTTTCTATGAAGGCAGAAACTTTTCCAACCTTTTTGACTACTCTGCCCCCCCCCCCCCCCCCTCTCCGCCGCATGCACTCCTCTCAGAATTTAGGTTCATCGTGCGTCGATTATGTTTTCTAAGTTACTATGTCTTATAACGGACTTTTATGAGGACCCAGTCTTTTGCCTCGTGCATTTAAATTTGAGAAATTGTCTTCAACAAATATCACAATAAGCTTCTGATAAATGTAAAATCCCTGTATAACTGTGTATTTACCATAGAAATATTTTCAAGTATGAAGGAAAGACATTTTTTTCAAAAACTTCCTATAGAAACGTAAGATATTTTTAAGGCGCACTTCTTTCTGGAATTCTGGAGAAGAATAGAGGAGGGTGTGGGTGCCATGGAGAGTAGACCCACGCCGGTACCTACACTGAAACCCGCACCTACACCCACACCCTCTTATAAATTAGCTGAATGATAATTCTCAAAAAAAAAAAAAACGAATGAAAAAATATTCTTCAATATAAATCAGGATACTTTCGCCAGGCGGTCATGGTAAAAGAAAAGATTAACATTCTTCTCATATTCAAATGATATTCTTTTGTTCATAAGATATCGTCAATGAAAATAATAAGATTTCGATTAGTATAAAAAAGCACTAGAATCATGTAGTCATTCTGCAAAATGAAAGCATATGATCATCATGAAGAGGACATATATAAAAAATGTCTTGTATTGCATTCTACGACATTGATGCTTCTGATAAGTTTATTAGAAAAGAAAAACTTTCTCGTTAATTTGTCAATAATGATTCAAATATTTCATATGAATTCTCATCTAGAAAACTATTAATGTGAAGAATTTTTAATAGCTTAATTATTTCTTTTTATATTGCTTGTCAATTCATAAACAAAACAAGTATGAATTCGACTCTCAATCTAACATTTCATGAAGATGTCTATACAAAAGTGATTTATCTTGTCAGTAAGTAGAACTGTTCAATTTGTATTTGCAACTCATAATAATTTGTATTCATCAATTGAAGCAATTAGTGCAGTACAGTGTTCATTTTGCTACTTTCAATATATTTTCTTCGAGTTGAGATCTTTGCGAATAACCAACCGCATGAAAGTAGAGATTGTCAAGGCTACACTTAGCCAGGCATGTCGTTTTATATATTTCATTTGTAAAAGATTTATGTAAATTGTTGCAACATAAGTGGTAAATTCACAACGAAATGGTTTCATGTTTAACAAAAATAAAAACAAAATTCGATTTCGTTTGTTGTATTTTTGTAGATTTTTGTATCCATCTACTTTCTCATGAGAGTTATTATTATTGTAAATGATAATTTTTAGTTGAATTTCAACAAAAGTACGAACCTATTGAAAATACTTATCATAGCAAATAAGATAAAGTGAACTATGTTCATGAGCGGGTATAGGTTTGGATGGAGATATTTTCTTTGTCTACGTCTCACATTCTATTCCATCAACAATCACATTTACATTCACAACCAAATGCTAAAGTCAACTTTTTTACTACCTTCAAAAACCATATCTCAAACTGCTTTCTTAATTTTTGAGCTGCATAAATTTGTTGTGGCTCTGCATTTTCCAAATCTTCTTATATAAATATCATGGTCCTTGTAATTTCAGTGTCAGTATCCCCAAAGAAATCCTAACTTCACATAATCTATTGTTGTTGCATTCTTCCAATAACTCATAGTATATTTCGTTCAGAAAGAAGTTTCTGGTAATATGGAACTTATTAAAGTATATATGGTATCGAGATCAGAGAACATTGGTTGGCAACGATCATTATTAATATTCTTCTTCTTGTTTAGAATATCTCATATTTTGATACGATGCAAACATCGACTAACAAACTACTTGAGTAAGTCTTATTTAGAAACATTATGAGGTGAGTTTTCAAAACTCGAAAAAATGTTAATTGGTATTCCGATTCTAATCGAATTCAATACAGATATTATATTTTGATATAATATACATTTTCTCATTATATTTCTTTTTGATCATGATTAATTTGTATCTGCTGGACTCGAATTCATGTCCTTGCAAATATAAAACCAGGTACTCGTTGAAATTTTGTTTAAATTTCAACTGTTCGATTCTGTAGGAAAGTCAACATTTACTCTCTCATTCTATTACTTAATACTTACGAATGAATATTAGCGTTCAATAGTAAACGTTTTATAGTAGATCTTGAGTATAATGAAGATGCAATTAGAAGATAATGAATAAAATCATTTTACTCTATATGAACTAGTTAATGTAGATTCATTCGAATTTGACATAAATATAGTGAAAATGACTTGCAAAAGAATACATTACCAACATAAGTCAACTCCTAAAAATAAAAGCTTAAGTTATACTACAAATATTTTGCCATGTTTTATTAAACAATCGTCTTTTATGCGAATTAATTAATTTAACGTTCATACGACTGAGTCATTATATTACAAAGATCAATATGATTTCAGTTTCTATTATATTTTGTTTGAGTCTATTAGTGTGCCTGTCATCGATTTCAAAACTAAGATACTTGATGTTAACAGATATTCTTGTGTTGAACTTTAAATAGTGACGTGTCTTCAATAAAAACAGGCAATGGGTGGTCAAGTTCATTTCTATTTTCCGCTTCTGTATACTTAATTGGAGCTCTTATTCTTGCATTTATCATTGATTGGAAATTAGCATTGATCGTATTTATTGCACAGTCATCGACTTCACTTACGTCCATTTGACTATCGAAGGCAAGTATATTCCGAATCTTTCTCTTCTGAAGAGTATTTTCTCAAAATCATCAGATGTTGAAATAATCACTTTTCTGTTCTTGAAATATTTGAAATGAAAATGTAACAAAAATAAATCTATATTATGTTTTATATGTTTGAATGAAGTAGTAAAAATCATTTGAGAATTTTGTTTCAATCACATTTAATAGAAATGTTATAGTCTGAAATCTATATGAATCTGTTTTTGATATGTATCTTCTGTGTTTACGGAAAAATTGTAACGATGAAAACTGCTTCTCCTCCTTGCATGAATCAAATTTTGTCAGTTTTATTCACTGATTAAAGTATCATATTATTTTATTATTAATTATTCAAAATTTCAGCTGATGTAAATCAACTTGGTAGAAAAATTACTTTTTTTGAAACTAGTATAAGTTTCACTAAACGGATGTAACCTTTTATGTTACGCTTTCTNTGGGACTGAGTGCGGGCATACGTGTGGATTTAACTGACGCCCACACCCACCCATACTAACCTACATCCACTGGCGCCCACATCCACCCACTGGCATCAACACCCACACCCACACATACCGAATATGTCCTGGAATTCGGAAAAAAAATCCGGAAGAAAAAATCCGGAAGAAAAAATCCGGAAAAAAATAAATCGGGAAAAGATAAAATCGGGAAAAATTCTGTAAAAAGATTCAACAGTTTATTTAACAAAGAAACATGTACAATAAAGAAGAGAAGGGTGTGGGTGCGGGTGTGTGGGTGTGGGTATGGGTGTGAGTGTGGGTGTGGGTATGGGTGTGGGTGTGGGTGTGGATGGGTGTGGGTGTGGATATGGATGAAGAGAACACCCACACCCTCAGTGTTGTAGAAGTGAGATTGATGTGAAATATGAATAATAGAGAGGAACGACAGTGTATTTATACATGCGCGCTAAGCTAACGATCAGCGGCGTGTTCAGCGCCATCGCGCGTCTGTCTATACATAATAATCGAAGCGCAGAGCACAATGAAGTAGAATGATACGCGGTGGACGATGATCATGGTTGACGTAGACAACCATAAATATTTATGAAAGAATATTATCCTTCCTGCTTTGTTATAAGAATATTGGAGATTTTTCCAGTTTTTTGTTTTCCGGTTTTTTTCTTTTCCGGTTTTTTCTTTTCCGGATTTTTGTTTTCGGAATTTTTCATTTTTCGGATTTTTACTTTCCGGATTCCAGGACATATTCGGTATGTGTGGGTGTGGGTGTTGATGCCAGTGGGTGGATGTGGGCGCCAGTGGATGTAGGTTAGTATGGGTGGGTGTGGGCGTCAGTTAAATCCACACGTATGCCCGCACTCAGTCCCACATCCACACGCACACGGAGACTCAGGCCCAGATCCACACGCACACCCAGTCCCACACCGATACTTGCCCTACTATTGATCGACTCTTCATCGTTCTCTTCCGCAGATGCACAATTGTGAAGAATTTCCACATAGCGAATTTATTCAAGCCTTATTACTCTCGTTATTATTTGCGTTTTGTATCTCTATGAGGTTCACATTTACAACCAAAAAAAAGATGATGACGACCCACGTAATAATCATGAATACCAAAAAGATTTATATCAAAGTCAACACCATTAAAAGTATTAAAACGAGGATTATGACCCTTACATTTTGCATCCACAAGACTCGTCCAACCATTTTTGCCATAGTACCAATCACAGCATTTGCCACATTTATTGCAAGCATTGCCACCACAACAATCAACTGTCTTTGGTGCTGCAGAATCTAAATGCAAACATTCATTCATTGAAATTACTGTTACATGGAACTGCTGAAAATGCAAAATGATTGAAAAATCATATACAAATACATGCTAAGAAGAGGAAAATATATTAAAAGAATTTACTCTATAAAGAACGGAGATAGTGTGGTTATGAGTAATCTCTATAACCACACCCATCCGCACTCAAAATATTCAAAATTGGAAGATATACGTAAAAAACTGTTCTACATTGAAGGAGTCTATTGATTGAAAAAAGTTTAAAATATCCCCATCTCCTTCAGCAAGGTCAAAACGCGTCATGGCTGCTTCAAACTTCTTTAAAATACGTACCCTCGAGTAGTTTTTTTACCAGAGCGATTTCGCTATGGGTCTGGATAATCGATGGATGATTAGATGGAAAAGTTGTTTGTTGAATTTCAAGCAGTTTTTCATAGTATGTGAGTGCAGTCGAGTAATCTCTCATCAAAGCATGGACTTGAGAAATGTTCTCATATGTCATGATTATCGATGAATGATTAGATGGAACAGGTTTTTGTGCGATTTCAAGCGCCTTCTGATAGTGTGTAAGTGCAGTCGAGTAATCTCTCATTTTTTGAAATACGATACCGATGTTGTTGTGGGCTTCGACCAGCTCGAAATGACCAGGTGGAAGTACTATTCGTCTAATTTCAAGTGCTTTTTGGAAATATGAGAGTGCAATCGGGTAATCTTTCATTGAAGCACGAATTGTAGCAATGTTGGTGTAGAGAGTGGTCAGCAACGGATGATTAGCTGGAAGAACTCTTTGAAAGATTTCAAGTGTTTTTTCATAATATGCAAGCGCAGTCGAGTCGTCTTTCATTGACTTATACAAAATGCCAATGTTGTTGTAGACTCGGGCCAGGTTGGGATGAATAGGTGGACGAGTGTTTTGCAAGATTTCAAGTGTCTTTTGATAGTATGTGAGTGCAGTCGAGTGGTCTTCCATCGAATAATGTAATCCAGCGATGTTATTATAGGTCGTAGCCAGCTAGGGATGATGAGTCGGAAGATATTTTTCTTCGATTTCAAGTGTCTTTTGATAGTATGCGAGTGCAGTCGAGTAGTCTCCCTGCGATTGATAGACGCGAGCTGAGTTGTGGTAAGTAGCGGCCAGCAATTTAAGATTAGGTAAAAGTGATTTTTTTTGAATGTCAGTTGTCTTTTCAAAATCGGAGAGTGCTGTCTTCGCATCGCCCTTTTCAAAATGGATGCCTCCTAGATTAAGATGGAGAAAACCAAGTCCAGTTGTATCGCTGTCAGATGTTGTCTCGAGAAGTGTCCTATAGAATATTTCGGCCTTCTCAAACTCGCCCATCATGAACATTAACTGTCCCAGCCGGTGGTACCCTGTTCCTTCTCCTATCTCTTTGTGCATACACTTAGTGAGATTCAATAACTCTTTATCGTTATCACTCGTAAGTGTTAGCTCCACTTGCCATAATTTCGTTTCGATTTGATGCATCTTGCCGATTCGAAAGACAGTATGCATGGAAAAAAGAATTTCTTTTTCAGAGTCGCCAAAATGACTTATGTTGTCCAATGAAGCGAATGGGGTCGATGTGATGGATGGATCTATTTTTATTCGAAACAGAATACCAGTAACATTTGTATTTTGTCGAGCACTGTCCGCATACATAGATGAGACCTGTTCATCGGTACTCGTCGACAGAAAGTTATTGAATGAGAGAAGACCACCTTCGTTCTTGTTCATCTTTTCAAAGTCGGCATTTAATACACCTTGTCCTCGATATGCAATACGTAATTCTGTTGTGTTGCTTCTGAGTGAACTCGTTCAATTTGTCGATGGAGATCTCGTAGAAAAAATCCCATTTTGATGATAATCTGGGTATTCAATGTTCGCAAAGCTTGATTGAGTACTGAATATATCAATGGCTCTTTTGTGTACCACCAAATAGCCGACACAGGAGTATACTCTCGCTCAAAGTTGTCAATCACGCGCAATACAGCATCGCTCTCCCCATATTCGATATGACAGAACTCAACGAATTCTTTCTTCGCTCGATCATCATATTCGGTCTTCAAAAAAATATCTTTGAGTAATTTTGAGTACATGAATGTGTGGTCTAGTTCATCTAAATTGCGAACTTCCGAATGCGACGTGGGAATGATACTGATTGATGTCAAATCATAGTCGGACTGGCGAACCTTTTGTCGCAGTGCATCACAAAGGGGTTGAATTTCAGTGAAGACTCCTTTTTCTTCGTGACATTCTTTGGCCGATAATTCATGTATTGATGAATGATTACGTAACACATAGATCGAATTAACTTGAGGACAATGTTGAATTAAAGGAGTCAATTGCTGTGCAAGTGTACTGGAGACAATGATGAACACTTTTTCGTCTTTGATGCCAGTGATATAATCGACACAGTCAGCGACATTAGTGAAGGTACTGACAGAAGTAATGATACGTCTAATATGATGGATTAAATTTTGATAAACTACATCTGATTCATTGATGTTTGGATCCAACAATACAGCAATGAAGCTGCCAATAATGCGATGCCGCATCATATGTACAGTTTCTATTTTTCGGAAGGAAGAGATCGATGCTTCCGCTGCATGACCACCTGTAGCACTGGTTAAGTTGGACACCGTGTTCGTCTGATTGGACGATGAAACAGTCATGAGTTTTGAAATTTCTTCTCCCATTGTGTATGTATCAGCAAGAATATTTTATCTATACAACCAAATCAATTCTGAACAACAAAAGAATATTTCACTAATCGAAATATAAATAAAAAAATATAGAAATGTTAGGATTCTCTTGTTAATGAAAAGGGAAATATCTAAGAAATTCATTTTTATTGTTGTTTTTATCGTGAGCTTTCCAGACTCCTGCTCATAATCATCAAAATACAATTGGGCAGCAGAAAGATAACAGATAGATTCCACGTTAAGATGACACATAAAGATTTGTTATTTGCTTATTCTCTAGCCAACCTGAATTTGTTTGACTCCGATATCAAAACATCTGAGTCATCTGAACTTTGGATTTATATACCATCTTTCTGCTGTCTAATTGTATGGTTCTGATGATGAGACGAAAGAATCTCGAGAGCTCAAAAAAACCAACAGTAAAGATGAATATCTTGAATATTTGCTTCTTAATTTGCATGTTCATTAAAAACGCTACACGATGTGCAAATACTGGGATTCTTCTCTAACCTATCCCGGGCTAAGCAGATGGTTGTGCAGCTACAAGTTTCTTGCAAATGAAAAAGTGAATACACACAAACATTACCACGTCTTTAAATCGAGTATTAAAACACAGTTGGGAATAACCAGTTTACTCACAAACATAACAATGCACGATATCTGTCGCTGCATATAATAGATATAGTGTGAAATTGAAAAATTCCAATGCGAGTTGTGAAGAACGAAGAGAAAGAGATCATATGTGTGTAGGTGTAGTTTAATTGAAGATTCCCACATCCATATCCTCTTTTTTGATTTTTTTCAACTCCTGCTCAATGTTCCAACTTCACACTAGGAATGGTACAAAAAAGGGCTCATAAATTCACAATTGTATAGACCGTCACATCCGCACACATATTTACTCGTTCTTTTGCTCGCATAGTGGATGTGGGCTGTGCGTGGGGAAAATACTATCCACATCTAACTGTACCCATGCCCACAGTTCCACCCACACCCACACCCACCCATACCCATACCCTACCCACCCTAAACTGGTATAGGTTGAGTTTCTTCAGAAGTAGTCACCCTGCCACTAAACTGCTTCCCCAGAATAGAAAGCTGCCTTGATGTCTTGAAAGGATTTTTCTGGAAGTAGAATATTGCGAAGCATCCTGATCGGGTCTCTTTTGATCGCCACCATACCAGCCAAATCTCTTAATTCGTCCAAATTCATGTGTTATGGAACACCTCTAAAGTGTATTAATTTTGTTTTCGGGTGTCCTCGTCAAATCTTGATGGCTGCCACTTTGAATAGTTTCTTTTAGACATCAATGATCGCTGCGCACCATGCTGATGCACAGACGTCATTCAAAATGTTCAGTTTTGAGATGACTACATAGCCTTGTTCATTACTGTTCAACACAAATATGATGGCATAATCGTTCCGTCAATAAAAGCTAGTCCAATGCTGGATCATCTCTAATGGTGAACGATCAAACTGATACGCACGAGGCTTGCTTGAGTAAATTTTCAATAGAAGTTGGCCATCTCACAGCAACACATCAGATGCTGGTTGCCATTCAGCATTACCATCGCTAGGACTAAGGTCTTTTCATTTGATACTGATTGAACCAGGGCCAGTTGATTGCAGCCATCCAAGAACAGAGTAATGATCAGGTACCCGATTCTGTAATAGTGATACGTCGAACTCATCATTATTTTCCATCTAATCCGGAGCCAGAAGACGATGTCGTGAATAACGTCGCCCTCGGTACTTCTCTAAAATTCATACAATGGAAACAGGTGCACAGAGACACCCTCGATTATCATCATGCAATCAAAATGAGAGCCGCCGACTGTGCACTGTGCTAATTAGTTTACTGTCATGCCATACACCTAATGTGTCATCTGTCTGATAGAGTGGCAATTAGAGACCTGCGGAGGACTCCGAAACCCGATTCCGACTCCGACTCCGACTCCGTCGGAGTCGGAGTCGGAGTCGAAAAAACAAAAATTTTCGGAGTCGGAGTCGGAGTCGGGTTTGCTGAAAAAAATTTTTCGGGTTCGGAGTCGGAGTCAGTTACAAGTTCGACTCCGATATTTTTTTTTCGATTTACCAAAACTTAATTTTTAACATTAGTAAATAGAAAAATAAAGCGTAATATCTGTCACATAGATTTATATCACTTGTAGGACAGAAAGATGAGCGAATCACTTTCCAGTTATAACACTCGAATGATCAAGTGAGATGAAAACATAACAACATTAGTCAAAAAAGATATATTAATGTCATTCAAAGTACTACAACTATCTTCATCATTAGTTCTTCCTTGTTTAGACGAAGAACATCCAAGGCCGGTAAAATCAGTAACAGAAACGCGTTTTTGGGAGCAAAACTGTGGATTTTTTACACATTCAAAAAGGTTTTTTTGAGGGGAAAAAGCGACTTTGAAGATGATAACATCCATAAACTGGTTTTTTTTAAAGAGAAACTTGAGATTTTAAGTGTAAAACGTGCGCTTGTTAAGTCATTGAAGAGTCCTTTGGCTGCTGAGAACGTTTTATTTTTAAATGACATTGTTCAAAAATTTCGGAGTTTTTCGGAGTCGGAATCGGAGTCAAAAAATAAAAATTTTCGGAATCGGAGTTGGAATCGGAGTTGGAATTGGAGTCATAAAAAGAAAGATTTCGGAATCGGAGTCGGAGTCGGAGTCGGAAGAAAGAAATTTTTCGGAGTCGGAGTCGGGTTTCGGAATGAAAAAAGTTGACTCCGCAGGTCTCTAGTGGCAATCCTTCTGATGTGAAATAATGTTCACAAAATCCTGATTGGAAGCTTTTAAACACAGTATATCACAAGTCGAATGCTTGTTGATATTCATATTTCTCACCAAAAAGATAGACAATTGATAACGCATTGTCGTTGGTGCTACACACCATGTGGTCATATCCCAAGAATAATAGAAATGGCAAAGAAAGAAAGAGTCTAAACGAAACAGATAATAGCGGTTGGATAAAAGTGCCCGTTGTTGAAAGAAGCGTGGCATGCTTCACTTCAATAGAAAGTTGACTCCTGCAAGTCATTTTGTGGATCCTCATCCGCTCGTTTTTATGATGGCAGATTGAAGAGTGTTTCCATTAACACACGTCATTTTTAATTCAGAAGCATGTTTTCCAATACGATGCCTATTTTCAACAAGCACAACCACACAATGCTTTACCAAACTTTTCCACGGTCTATGCAACTTTTCGGATCCTTAGTTCAGACTCTTGAAATCGGTCTTGATTGAAAGAGTTTGGAACATTGAAAGAAAACAAAATCAAAGTGAGTGTGCGAATGTTTGTGGATCTAGATGTGAGAGAACATAGATCGAATACACGCGTTTTTAGGTTTTGAGAGTGGCCAAGTTGTTTTTTGATAAAAATATTAATTGTAGATCTGATAAATCCTAAGCTGCTCAATATCTTAATCATACATTTTGTACATAACCGATGTACCATATATAATGAACCTTTCTACATTTTGCTGATACTTCTATTAATTCTAAATCGTTCAAACTTAATCTTTAAAAAAAAATATTCATCTTATTCATTTCTACAAGAATTTGTAAGAGAGATCTTTTATCTGGCTTCCAATTAGTGTGAAAAACAGCTATAGTCTGCTAAAGAGTTTAATGAGACTAAAAGAACACATTTGATTTCTACATGTCAGTTTCTAAAGGGCTATGTTGTCAAGCTCCTTTTTGTTTGAAAGCGCATGTCAAGATGCAGGATACAACAAAGCCATTTTTTTCTAAATTCTTACTTTTATAGGAAGACTAGGGATGAAAAGTTCCATGTGTCAAAAAACTCGAAAAGTTGCGCTCTAATTATACAGCTACTCTTTTATATAATCGTAATAAAGCTTGATTGAAAAAAATCACTCTGTCATTCCCGTGCATATTGACATACCCTTTGAAACAAAAAAACCTAGCACTTGGCTATAATGGATGTTGGAAAAAGGAGCTGCCAAATGAAAATTTATGTCATTTATGAATATTAGACTTCGATCTATCTTTCCATACATTTATCTTCATTTTCATCTTTTTACGAAAGTTGACTGTTTTTGAGGGAGTGGGTGGAGGCTTAAAACAAAAGAAGCCGCGTCTATAGGACTGATTTGATGGCGTCAATATGTATGAAGATAAGGTTTACTTATTCCCACAGTCACATCCTGACAAATAAGAAATGTTATTGTACTAGACATTATTCCAACGTCCAATTAATCATTTTTCTGTTACAAACACCCACACCCACACCCAATTAATTAATTTATTCTTTTTACTGCATCAGTGTCGGTTAACTCTGTGGGGAACAATAAACTACATATAAAAAAATACAAGAGCGAGCGACCCTTTCTTTAGTTATCGAACAGAAAAGAACGGCAAGAGAGAAAAATCAACAGGAGTCGTGTGATATTAAATTACGACTCTGCAGTTTATCTTTTATCATAGTTTTGCAGCGCTGACACTTCGTTCTTACTCTGTTGTCTAGTATCTTCTGCCAATGGAAACAACAAAAATCGTTTTTCTTTGGTCCCACGTGCGTTCAATCTCAACTGCATTTGAACGAGCTTTTATGCAGCGAGAAGACTATGTTACTTTTCACGAACCCTTCGGCGAGCCTTGCTATTTTGGCCCTGAGCGTATATACAACTACTATGACAATGAATTGAGCGCACACGCAGAGTATATCAATATTACCTACTCACAGATAATCGAGCAGATACTCAAGGCCGCCGAAAGTAAGGGAAAGAAGAACGTCTTTGTCAAAGATATGGCACGCCATGTTGTACGACCTGACTACAAGTCGCATCGAGAAAATCCAACTGTGCTTCCAATTGACTTCCTCAAGCGGTGCAAACATACGTTTATCCTTCGTACGCCAGAAAAGGCTGTACCCTCTTTGTACCGTGCGTACGTTAAAAGCAACCAGAAATTCATTCACGACGACATAGGATATACGGAGCTGCAGGCATTATTCGAATTTCTCACCGAACTTACTGGCAGTCATCCGCCTTTAGTCGAAGCAAGCGAACTTCTCACGGAACCCAAAGCTATTATGCGCATGTACTGTGAATCAGGTATTGATGATCGATTTGAACCAAGCATGGTGGAATGGAAAGCGGAACGGGTTGAGGCGTTCGATAAATGGGCAGGCTGGCACGAAAGCGCTCAACATAGCACAGGCTTTAATCAGGTTCAGGAAACAACAGACGATACTGATGACCTCGTTCTGCCTGACGATGTACAGCAAGTGATGGAACAGAGCATACCCATCTACAATACACTGCGTGAATTCAGGATGCGTGCTTGACGATGGACGGAAGATCCTAACAATTGCTGTTCTTTATTAGAACTGGATTTCATAGCGATTTTAATTCGATTGAATCCATGAAATTGTATCAAGTTTTCCACTTAAATTTCATCATTATAAGCAGAGATAAAATGTGCAAATAGCGAGGAGATTGTTACTAAACATTTCAATACAAGTGCACATAAAGCGCTTTTTGAGCAGACAAGTTATCCTATAAACATGTGTCATGGTTTTTCAACTACATTTGCTATACAATATGTTCTAGATTCTTTTTTTATTGAGCTCGGAGAATTATCTTTGTTTCATTCAATTTCTGATCCTGTTGTTTACGACAATCTTCGACATCCCTAATGAGAATACTGAACTCTTTTTTTTGTAAAGATCGAATCTTTTTGTGTTAAAACTGGGCAAGACTATACTACATTTTGTATAGGATTCTATCGAAAACTTATAAAAACTTGTGATCAAAATAGTGAGGGACATGAGCTATTTGACTATTGTATTTGTTCGAAATGATTTTAGCAAAAAGAACCATAATATATATACATGTATCTAGAATTTCAAACAGTAAGTTTCGAAAAACCTAATGGAGAAGATGATAGAATTTCGTTTTGCGGTAGCATGAGTCTGGGATGCCAAGATCAAGATTTCTGTGATATCATGTAATTGGTCAAGAGAGTAGATGCCTAATTCGAGTTCGAATATAAATGAAAAATTCGAAAAAAGAGACTTCCATGTTGAAATAGCAAAAAAGCAAAAGAAATGATTTCTATAAATTATTACCATAATTTCAATTTGTACTTCATTGATCGCTGTGTACATAGAGACGAGCATGAGTCAAGGCTCTTCGGAGGGCGCTGCGCGCCCCCACGCCGCGACGCTGAGATAAAATGTGTGTTACGCGGGGAAAAGTCGGTTTCGGCAGTTTGGTACTAAGTATGCCGCACTAGAATTAGCACTACAATTATTCAAATCAGAGTCAGTAAATGAAAAGATCTTAGCATTAGGTTAGTATTATTTTCCATTCTCACACATGTAACCAGTATTTGCTCCGGAGGGCAGTAGGAAAATGCTACCTGAGGTATCCGAAAAAAGGGGATCGAAGCATTAGAGATCTTGCTTGCAGCATCTCAGATGAGAATAGTCTACATAAGATTCATCATTATAATGGAGAATAATTTTTAGCGTTTGCTTTTTAGCTACTTTAACTTGGATGATCCTTTTCATTTATAATTTATAAATTATATAAACTTTTTCTTCTGCTTTTTTGCTATGTTAACAGGGAAGCCGCTTTTTGCCATTTATTTTCGAAGTTACAATAAACATTTAGATCTCTATTTATATTCAAACTCAAATTAGGCAACTCATGCGACAGCCACACACAGACCTAGACGCATATCCACATCTCACCACAGCTTTTACTTTTGTCTGAATGAAAATTTAAGTTGAATAATGTGAAAAAGATCCAGAAATCTTTGGACCCAACTAAGCATGCGTATATTTATGGGCCTTGCCGAGTTGGACAAACGACAATTTCTCGGATGCACATGCGTTGAGGTTGCTGATACGCAAACATTACACACCGTGCTGTGTCTTCGCTGGTTAGTGTTTCTCCAATGTATTGCTTTAGTGCTTTGTATTGTTCGACGAGATCCTTGTCCGTCGAATGAGTTAATATTTCTGTTTCGACCACCCCTGGTGCAATGTTGATCAGACGAACATCGTACTGAGACACTTCTTCACGAATCTGTTCAGTGAGCGCATGAACACCAAATTTCGTCGCGCAATATACGGCATGATTAGGAAACGTCTTGCGACCTCCAACCGAACTCACATTGACAATCGTTCCACCTCGACGGGCGACTGAATCAATAAATAAAAGAAAATAGACGTGTCGTGCTCATCGTCATCTGATGCTGTTCATACGCTACTTACCCATTGATGGTAATACAGCATGGATACCATTCAGAACACCCATCAGGTTTGTGTCGAACATGCGTTGCCATTCGTCTGGATTTTGTGTGTGCACCTTGCCCAGTAGCATGATACCCGCATTGTTGATCAAACAATCGACTGGACCGTATTTTTGGACGGCGTCGTCAATAGCTTCTTTGAGTTGAGCTCCGTTGATAACATCGACATGAGCACATATGACATTTTGTGTCATACCCAGAGCATGTAGACGATCGAGTCGACGAGCAATGAGCAAGAGAGGATGTCCAGCATTGTAGAATGCTTTGGCGCATGCTTCGCCAATACCAGACGAGGCGCCAGTGATAACAACAAGGGGCTTTCGATTAAGTAACGCCATACGTTTCAGTAATGTGGCGATGTATTCGAGGTGGTTAGCACGAATGAAGAGAAATTAAAACAAGACTTTATGTCGTTGGTTTACTGATAAGAAAAGTAGAGAGGAACAATGTCAAGATTGACTGATATCTTTTTTTTTTTGTTCTCTAATTCAAAAGTCTTCTTGCTTGTATGCTCACCTTTTTAGTCTTATCGGGATAAATTTTCTTTGTCAGTACTAACAGTGAGAAGATACTCGAATAAAATTTATTTGATTGTCACGACCGTCGACTTAGTCTTTTTAAAGATGATGAAAAATATCTCTCTCGAATTTCAGCAAACTGTGAATGCTGTATATTTCGGAATGATCTCAAATTTGCTGTGTACAAAAACTTCAAATAGGTTATTAGAAAGTATTCTGATATATATCTTTGTTCATTTTACTGCCATCAAATGGATAATTCGTTTAGCTGACGTATTGATAGACAAGTTTTCATTTGTATTACTTGTACATTGTGATGATCAGTCGCATATAAGCGTTTTCAAATGTGTTACGAAATAGTATGGCAAAGAAAAATGGAAGCTGTATGCGATCAGTAAACCTTTTAATCAATATTCATCACATATTCTCACTCGACTTCGAAAAAAACAAGCGTGAAAATAGTTATTATGAATACTTAAAAACTTTACCCTCAAAAGATTAATTGAGACATAAAGACGATCTTTTTTCTCAAATAGTATATGGGACTATTATAATAGTCCCATTCCATTGTCTAAAGAAGAACGCCGATTTCAAATGACTCATAAAACGGAAACAAAAAAGTCTGAAAACATATTTATATCTAACATTTGTGTCTATGAACCTAAGCAATTTTCTGCAGAATTTGACGCTGGTGATGCGCACGAGGAAGATAATGACGATTATTTATCAATAGTACGTGAGCTAATGCGACGTTTCGAGCTTGAAATTAGACTTCAAAACTATTTCTTTAACGGTTTCAACATCGTAAAGGACTAAAATACGCTGTTACATTTACACGATATTTTGATGGGAAAACTTTTGAATTTATATTTCATTTGGTGTTATTCAGTCATCCAATCGTTTTGAGACTCAAAAACTAGTGATAAAAAGAAAGGTATACAGTTGGATCAATTAGTGCGAACTGTGCTGAATTCTCATTGCTTCCAATTACTGTACTATCAAGTCCTCTTTTTTTTCAAAGTGACAACACTCATAGATCAGGCAAGCAACACAGAGCACAAGATTAATTCTGTAATCATGTCCTTTCAATGTTTATGATGTCCTAAGATTTTCAAATCAACTACTGCCCGTGATATTTATTTTACGAATGCTAAGCCCTCAAGTTCTCACGATAGCCGATTCATAACCACTTGTAGTTGCTTGAACACATTTATTAATGCACATACTACATCGTTTCTATCCATTATCAATGTATCATCAAGTCGTCTGTGTAATCATACGATGTTAATATTGGAGCAGATGGAGAACCTCAAATTTTCTATTAATCCTTTGAGTAAATCACGTCGTTATTAGCAATGCACAAAGAAACTTAAGTCTATTAGGAATTGTATAGCTAGTTTCATTTTGACCACAGACACGGATCTATCTAATATTCTTCAAAATCAAATAGAAATGATGAAAGAATGAATAAAGACTAGAAAAGATAAGACTGCTTCCACGAAATCACCGTTCGGCTCTTCGCAAACACTTCTCAATTATCAAACTTTCTCGATAATAAAATAATAATAATGCAAAAACAGTAGGAAACTGCAGAGGATACTATTTATCCAGTGAATACATTATTTAATAGTTCGCGATATTCGAAAAAATTCGCTTCCATCACTGGTTGCCTAGATTATTTTAACATCAAACACGTAGAATGCGCTGGCGGGTGTGCGTGTAAGCTTGCCATGTGAATGTGCGGCTCAACCTTCTCCACATCCAGAAGTAGACGATCATTGATATCTATTATATCGTTTCTTAGTAATAATCAACTGTTGATAATAAAAACCTTTTTGAATCGTATGAGTCCTATTGATTATATATCGTTTTTTTACCGATATTGGTCTTGATTCCACTTACTTACAAAAGAGAAACATTCGATAAAAATCAAGATCAACAATCACATTACACATCAAAATTATTCTACGCTCTTTTCTTATTAAGATGAGTTTTTTTTGTCCTCAACAACTTGCAATCGAGGATAGTTTCTATGGGTTGGCATATATGATTGTGAACAAAATAAATTTCATTTTCTTTCTATTTATGAAACAAAAAATTAATAAAGAATGAAAAAAAAAATTGTATTTATAATCTAGATAAACTATCATTTTGATCTTTATACTTTCAAAACTTTAAATTTTATACTTCATAAAATTTTTCATTGTTATTTTTATATTTGAATTAAAATTAGAAAGAACGAAAAGTTTTCTTTTTAAACTATACCAAAGTTTTTTCTTTCTTAAAAAGAACACTTTTGTTGTTTTCATACTTTCGATGAATGACGATGATGAAAGAAAAAAAATTCTTTTATTAATCGATAATCATGACAGTTGACAACAAGTTGATTAGTGCAAATAGTGCTCGACTATTCGAACTTCTGCTAAAAGTAACTTTCCTGTATGAACAATAATAAATTGAATGTTGATTTATTATATTTATTTCTTAGGCTACTCGAACATCGAATGAAAGCGAAGCAACCCAATGGTGGAAACATTTTAATGAAAGTCTTGATCCTTATCAAACACATATAAAACGAACATTAGAAAAGAAAAGTTACTTTTCTTTATTCAATAAAAAGAATGAGGCAATCATTCCAGTACTTGCTCAACAACTCGATAAAGATAAATTGTCTGTATTACATTATGTCGCTTATTATAATAATTTTTTTATTTGTTGTAAATTGGCGGATCTAAACTGCGGTAAACTAAATATGTTTTCGATTATTTCACTAGCTCTTTTTGATTTAATATAGATTTTAATATTGTCGGAAAAAACGGAGAAACAATTTTACATGTAGCAGCTCGATCTAAAACAATCGATGAAGATACACATCGTGTAAACATAAGCAACAACTCCGAAAATCAGCAACAATCATTATTAATCTATTTGTTATCAAAAACAGATAATAAGCAAAAACCATTAGTCGACATCGACAAACGAGATAATCAAGGTCGAACAGCATTACATCATGCTGTCATGTCTAATAGAATTGCAAACGTGAAAGTATTACTTGATTATGAAGCAACTATTACAGTGAATATATCTTGTTTATCATAAACGTCAGGTTTTTTTTTTCTTTTTTTCTTTTCTTCATAATATATTTTAGATAAAAGATATTCGTCAAGCAACACCGTTACATTATGCATGTCGTTTTAATAGAAAAAATGATATTGTTCGATATTTACTTTTAAAAGCTGATTCATTTAAATATCAATCGAATAAATTCAAATGGATAAAACAAAGTATATCACACAAACCATCATTTCCAATTTATTCGAAATTAGATTATATTCATGCAAAAACAACAGATGGACATGATGCTATTTCCCTTGCACAAACTTATAATCATGAAGAAATACTTGAAGAACTTTTTAAACATATACAACATAATTATTTTCGATGGCAAGAAAAAGATAAGATTATTTTTGATCAAATTTATAAGGCTATTTTAGCTGAAGATCCGAGCCTAATAGATTCTTATCCGGCTTGGCTTGTTATCAATGAAAAGACTGGTGAGACTCCACTTCATATTGCTTGTACACACGGTTGTCCTACAATTGTATTGCATCTTCTTAACCGTCAGTATTCGAATGATGATCATCGTAGTCCGAATATTATATTCTTACGAGAAAAACAAAATGGTTTTACTCCCATTCTTTCAGCTGCTTATGCTGGTCAAGCAAAATGTTTTGAACATATGCTTAATGTTATTCTAAAAGTTATTATGACCAATAATAATCCGAATAAATTTATTAATGATGTATTAATTGATCGATATGGTCGAACTTTATTACATATTTGCGTTGTTTCAAGACAATTTAATATACTGGAAATATTAATGTTATCTATACAATCAAATCCAATTTTATTTGTACGAGTCATTGAACCAATGATATTTACATTAGATTATAATGATGAAACACCTCTTCATATAGCTGTACGTTTAGAATTATATTCTATATGTCAATTATTACTTTTATTTGCGGATAAACTTGATGAAATTCAGCAACCTTGCATTTATCTTGATAAAATTGATGGTGAATTAATACGATCTACAGATGTATATACTGAAGATATTCAATTAGTTCCATCATATATGCTTTCAATGTTAACTAAATCTCGTGTATATATAATTGGATATAAAAATAAAAATGGTCAATCATCATTTCATATGGCTATTTTTTATGGATATCAACATATTATGAATCTCTTTCTTAAACATGGTAATGTATATGGTATGAATTATTTATTAGAACATACAGATGCTAATATTCGAACACCATTACATTTAGCTGCTTTGTATGGTCATTGTGATATTACAAAACAATTATTTTTATTAAATGTTAAGATGTATGTCCGAGATGATCATGAATCAACACCATTACATTGTGTTGCTCAATGTGTTGGTATTAAATGTTATCATGATATTGATGCATCTGTTTGTATACTTGACATATTTTTAAAATATATTGAAAATTATGAAAAAAATTCTTGTGATTTCTTAACAACAGTTGATGGCTTTGGTCATAATTGTCTTGAAACAGCTACCATATCACGAAATCGACCTTTTGTTGAATATCTATTAAATCTTAATAATATTTCTCTATTTAAAAGTCTTTTACGTAATGCTCAATTACTTGATATTCATCATCAACATGTTGATACACCACTTAGAAAATTAGTAAAATGTATGCCTGATTTAGCTTATCGAATACTTGATATTTTTATAACACATATTGGTGATAAACATGAAGCTCATCATGAAATAATCTATGATTTTGAATTTCTTGAAGATCATTGTTATATACAACAATGGAAACAACATAATATGGCATCTCAAAGGATAATAAATAGACCAACACATACATTTTGTTGTTTTGTATTTTGTTGTCATAAACAACTTGAATTTCAAAATCAATTTCATGGTAATAATCATCATCAATCATTATTTGCTTATACAGCAAATCCTTATACATTAGTACATAATACTGTACTTTCAGTTATGTGTAAATGTGCTAAACGAATTGATTTAAAAGATCAGGAAGATGAAAGTAGTGATGTTCAACATAGTTATAAATTAATGCATCATCCTCTTTGTTGTCAATTAACACAACTTAAATGGAAACAATTTGGATTACCATTATTTTTAACATTTTTTTTTATCTATAGTCTTTATTTGATTTTATTTACAATAGCGATGTTACGAAATAAACAACCAGAATATTTTTATCGATTAGTAAATGCTTCATTTCCAAATGGATATTATTCCCATGGACATAAATTGGTTAGTATTTGTTTTGTGATACTGACATCTAGTTTTTCATGAAAAATTTTGCATACGTTTTAAGTTGAAATTTTCCATTTTTTCCCTTCTTTATAGACTTTCATAATCGAGGATAACAGGCATCGAACTTCTTTTCTATAGTCCTTTATCAACGGAAGACGTGCTACAGGATGTGAACAACAAAACTTAGACTGTTCGTCCTCTTCCATGTTCTAAAGTCTTTCATGAAATTGAAATGACTGGAAATCGTTTGTGCATGTTTGCCTTAAATAGCGCAATTTCAAACTTTTGCGCAGATAAATGATTACATAATAGGTATGAAATATGATAGCTGGTGACATATGGATAGTCACAGTTGTCATTTGAACTACGCAAAAAAATTTTGAACTGATCAAGTTCTTATTTTCGAAAATAATCAGAATCATTGTTTCTAAGTTAATTGAGATACATTATAGAGAATGAAGGTAAAGAAGACATGTTAGTTCCATATTTTAGTTTCAAACGAACTGTATTGATGACCTATTTTAAATGAATTAATAGAATTTTTGTTGATTATAGAATTGTGAAGAAGTTGCTCAACGTCTTGTACAATTAAATGTTCGAGAAGCATTGAAACAACCAGCAGATCGTATTATTAAAACATTAGTTATTGTATTATTATGGGTTCATGTCGTAAAAGATACTTTATTAATCATTGGTGTACATCGATTTTCTCTTGTATGGCGAATCTATATGGAAACTGTAACACTTATTCTTAGTTTTATTTGTTTATATGATGGTGATCAATGGCAAGGTCAGTTGCGTTTTCGTTGTCCAACACAATGGCAATTGGGTGCGTTTGGAGTGTTTCTTGCTTGGACAACATTATTATCTTATCTTCGTTTTTTTCCTATATTTGGAGTTTATGTTGTTATGCTTGAAGTAATTATGATTAAATTCTTATGGTTTGCTCCAGTATTAGTAATATTAATTTGTTCATATTCATCAGCTTTTTATATGCTTCTACAAAATCAACCTGTTTTTTCTACAATACCCTTTGCTTGGTTTAGATCAGGTATGTTCATTATCAAAATATATTGTATCATATAATAATATTATTGTATTTTTAGCTTTTATGGTATTAGATACAGGTTATGAAGATCGGTTCTTTGGTCCAGATAGTGAAGAATATATTAGTCTTTATCCAGTTCTTTTTGTTATCTTTCTTTTCTTCGGTGTTACAATGACGATTTTGGTCAATAATCTTCTCATCGGTAAATCAATAATAAATACATTAGAATTATAATAATCTTTAATTTTTATTATTATTATATAGCTTTAGCTGTTGGTGAAATAGCAGATTTATCAGCTATTGCACGTGTACGTAATGCAACAAGACGATACGAATTATTACGTGAATGGGAAATATTTCGTTTACAATGTTTATGGTCACCTGCTCCACTTCATCTTCGTCATGAACATTTTGAAAAAAAATGGAATCGACAATTACGAACATGTTTAAGATGGGTTTATCGTTATTCATTTCTCAAAGCTGATGATTGAACATCTTTATCAAATATATCATAAAAAAAAAATAAACCAATACTTTTTTTTTGCTATTCAAAAAATATGAATTTAGGAACAGAATAAAAAAAAAATTGTGAAATATTGTTTGACATCTCATAGTTGAGTAAGAATTGGAAGCATGTTAAAGTCAAGGCTTGTTGTTGTTGTGCTATTCGTCACAACAGAAAAAAAAGAAAAAGAAAAAGAAGTTGTTAAAGTATTCTGTTGTTAGAAACAAGTCACTTCTTTTTTTTTCTCTCTTGTCGTCTTCAACGTCGTCGTTTGAAAAGAAAAACAAAGATGTTTTATGTGCCAGTAACTGACAGTTATGTGAGATTACCAGTAACCTATGTACCAGTTTATTCAACATCAATAGATCGAACATTAAGTGAATATTCAAGTTCAAGATTAAATAATGATCTTTCTGAAGTTAAAAAAGAATTAGCTGAATTACGTGAAGAATTAAGTGATTTACGTTTAGAAAAAGAAACTTGTCCAATATGTTCATCAACTGTGTCAACAACACGATCAGTTCAATGTGATGAAAATTGTTCAATTTGTTATCCTCGTATTCGTAGTCGAGAAAGAGAAGAAAATTATTTTCGAACATCATCACCAGTTCATTATTGTTCGATTTGTCATGATTATGTTATTGATGAAGCGTTTCCTTCACCATCTCCACGTCCATATACAAGAACTATAAAAACGAAAAAAGTCGAAGAACAAGACAAATTATCTGAATATTTATCTCGACAACTTGAAATGCAACGTCTTCGTCAGCGTTATATACCTGAACAACGACCAGTTTGGATTCCTACAGCATACAAACAGGGTTATCCTCATCGACGATGGGTTACTCGTCAATCGAATTTTTCAGAACCTTAAATTTATAAGTTTTACAGATAAACAATGAAGATGAATAATTTGAAATTTTATAAAAGAATTTCTTTTTTTTTTATAAATGCAAATGAGAACTAAGAAATAAGAATTCTAAGTTGAAAAAACACAATATTTGTATTTAGAAGAAGATTCACACTATGTCTATCGTTTACAATAAAATAAAATCTTTTATTAGGCTTTAACCATGAGCAAAAAATCAATATCATTTTATTTAAAAATATATTCGTAACGAGAGTCAATGATTATAACAATACATATTCATTATATTTATTAATTAAATGAAAATAATAAGTGACTATCTATCGATAGTAATTAATCTGATAATGTTCAATCATTATACTGTAACATTCTCATATTATAAAAACTTAATATAATAATTTGACATTCGTAAATAAATATAAACTTTTAAAAACTGCAAAAAAATGAAAACAAATAGGCACTACGAAAACAAAACATTAACTACGATTTATTCAATTTTACACCTCCTCCATTCAGTGTCTCTTTTTTGTTATGACAAAGAAGAACGCAAGAAAAGCGAATATAGACGTAAGGCGGCACAACAAGAATACTTTACCACGTGCAGAACAGAAAAACATTTTGTATGTGATATATAAGGCAAAGAACAAAGCACATCTTAGCACATAATAGTAAGATTATTTTCTTCGTTTTTTGTAAAAGAGAATATATAATAGATGATTAGAACTATATGTTATATATAAGATTGTTGATTTCCGTTGAACTAGAAAATAAACCGAGAACGAATTTGGATTTCTTAATCATCATTATTCTTTACTTCATCTGCGATATATAAGTATCGTTTGACCTTGATATAATATTCTATTTTGTTCTAATTTTAGATTTGATCGATAAAAACATTTTAATTATTGTGTATACTCAGGGATACATTGATAAAACTACTCATGCATATCGTATTCAAATTCCCTGCACATTGTTATACTTAATTGATTTTTTATTTTGATAAAAATTATATGATGTTTTTTTTCACTTCAAAGATTTCAATAATGTCTGCTGAACAATCGTTAAAAAACAGTTATACGTATGTTGGTATATTACTTGTCTTGGAAGGTTTCTCATTTCTTATATCTCCACATTTAACAACGAAATTATTACTTCTATCACCTCTACAAACAGCACAAGCCGAACAATATGCAAGAGTTGCAGGTTTAGCTATAGTTGTCATTGGATATTATTATTGTGTTGCTGGAAAATATACATTAATTGGTTTGTTTAGGTAATAAAAAATAAAGAAAACAGTGAAAATAGTTTTTCTTCTCGTATATTTAGAGCTAGTGTAGTTGGACGCCTGCTTATTCTTCCTGCGATAAGTGCAATGATTTTTTTCTAGTAAAAATTATTTTGCTTAAGAATTATCTTTTATTAGTTCAATTTTTAATTTTAGTTCCGTCGAAGTATCATTTCTTCTTTTCGGTATTCAGGATTTTTTAACTGCTATTTGGTCATATTTTTGTTTAAAAGCATATGATGCCGAACAAGCAAAACTAAAAAAATGAACTTTTATAATCATGTTTTTTAACCAACCTTTATTCTAAACTTTTGCTAAATTATAAAACATTTGCAGTAAATATTCTTCATTTACATGTTTATATAAATATATATATCATAGGCTTATAGAATTTAGATTAAGTTAAGTTTTAAATGTGATAGACACAAATTAGTCAATAAGAGATCGTATCAAATGTCTTTAAGGTTCTTTTTTTCCAGTCTTGTATTTATCATAAAACTTGATGATTAGTTGCATCTGTTACGTACAAGTTAAATCGATTGTCAAACATAATGCCATAAGGAATGTTGAGTAAGGTATTATAGCCACTGCAACTAGTAGTAGCGCTAATGATTATTATATCAGTTGATTGACCAACTGAAAAGAATTGAACGCGATGATTATAAATATTGACAGTATACAAGTTGCGAATAGAATCTATTATCATAGTTCTTGAATAGAGTACTAGAGTCGATGAATTATAAGTTGCTACACTGACACTAACAATAAGTAATGTTCAACTTCTAACATCTAAAAGCTAACGAATAGCGTTGTTATTATTTCATTTGAAGATTTGTAAGGCTTTTGGATGACGAATCAAAATAGTTATCGGTAAAATCAAATGCTTGTGTCTTAGAGTATTTATTGATATACGTATTTTGAGTGTCTTTCCATAAAAAAAAACTTGTTAAGGAAATTTTTTGTCAAAATGCTTAGAATTTAAAAATCTATAAACCTTGAAAATTTTATCATAATTGAACAAAACTTTTGTACGATTTGGTTGACATCCCTTTGAAATATTCCATGATACATGCACTGACTTCTTAATTAAACAATGAGTTCGATCTTCAAAATTTATCTATCAAAAGAAGTTTTTATTATTAATTCTGACCATTTTTAACAGAATTTGGGCTTTTCTTCGAGAAAAAATTTCGAGTAATTTCAGTAAGAATCGATCCATTTAGTGTCTTAAATATTTTACTCCCTACATGCTTGATCTTGTATTTAAATGTTCAATACTTTTTAATTATTCATTTCAATTGCGAATAAGTTTCAATTTTTGACTTTTAACAGTTAATTTTATCGATACAATTAAAGTATTTGATAATATATTGATTGATATAACTAATATTATTTTATCCTTGAGCAACTATAAATTTGAACTTTGTGAAAAAATTCATACAAAAGGAAAATGTCGGATGAAAATTTATTTTGTCGAAGTAAATTCAAAAACTTCCTGTCCATGATATTTCTAATTGAATAAAATTAATCTTTATCTATAGAACTACAGACACAATTCTATGGACAACAATAATCAATAAAAGTTTATTAAGGAATTGTAATGAATATTTAATTAAATATATCGATGATTTTTTTCCAAAATTGACCATCTTTTTTCCAAATGACAACAGAATTTCCTCTTTCAGTATTTATCTTGTAAGTACTAAATTAAAAAAAAAGAATAAATTTTGACGAAATAATTTGTTAAGATAAAAACCTTATTTCAATAAAATAATTTGAATCACATTGAATAACTTGTTCAGTATGTAAATCAACTTCTGTATTTCCGACCTTTTTTGTATTAGAATAATATTTTTCAATTTGATTTAAACCTTGATAAATTTGTTTGTCTGAAGAGAAAAGTCGAGCATCATCAGCATAAGAACTAACAGCTTCTTTAATTTGATCATTATTAAAATAATGTTGAAAATCTCGATTGAGCTTATCGATAACTTCGAACGACATTTTGACTTTGTCCTTCTCTTAAAATGCAAATGCACAAATAACTGCAGAGACTTTAACAAAAATTCTTGTCCATCTTCTTCTTTTTTTTTTTCTCTCTCTCTTTTTCATTCGTTTTGTTTCCTCTTGTCAATACAATATGAAAAAAATTGTCTTGTATGTTCCGATCGGAAAATATCTGAGATCGATTTATTTTTAAATCAAATGACAAGAACAAACTCAATCAAAGGTCTTCGAGAAAATTAGTTTTTCTTTTCACCGGATGTTAGTCAGCACAAAGGAATAAACTTTTACTTTTCATTAACATCTTTTTCTACTGTATCAACTTTTGAAAAAGAAATGCAACATAGAAATATCATTGTTTTGTGTTGTTTGTGGCAATCGAATCAAATATTCAAAGATTCTTTTTTTTTTGAATTGCAAACTTTAATTTACGATCAATCGAAAAAAATAATTATTCTCGCATATTCATCTTTCACAAGTTGGATAAAATGGTGCATAGAAAGATAGTAAACGGATAATATACGATATCTTTCTGATGATTCTGACATCTATTTACATAGCAATCATATATTAGTTACGGACCCACTGATAGAGGATCGAAATCGAGCCGTTATCGAGAATATACACTTTCAAATCGAGTTCTATACTCTATAATGCATTGCATATAATGTAGTGTTTCGGAGATCATCACAAGACTTCTTCACATTACGATGTTAACATCTTGTATCTCTCCCGTAGCCACGCTGTATCGTTAAAATATGTCAAAGCCAATAATTAGATATCTCACTATCATATATCGACAATCGCTTTTGATGAGTTCTATTTCAGA